TACACACTTCTCCAAAGAGGCCAATAGACAAATGTTCAATAGACAAATGAAAAGATGCTCAATGTCACTAACCATTTGAGACATGCAAATTAAAACCACAATAGCTATCACCTCATACCTGTCAGAGTGGCTACCATCAATAAATCCACAAACAACATGTATTGGTGAAGATATGAGGGGAAAAGGGGGGGAGTCCTTGATAGTGTACACAGCAGTCCAAGGTTGCTTGTCACTCCTTGAGCCAAATTACACAGAGGCAGGGTTGAATCATATATGAGTGTTTATTCCAATCATGCCAGCAGAATATGGAGAGCAGGCAGTCACCTTGGAAAGCCTGTCCTGACACCCCCCTCCAGTGGTCGGCAAACTCATTAGTCAACAGAGCGGCAAACACCGGTTCGAGAGCCGCCGTTTGCCCACCACTGCCCTAGCCAACTAGATGATTATATATGGCAAGGGAGAAGATAACTACATGCAGCTGTGAGCTTCAAGTGTAACATGGAAAGGGGAGGGGTCTGTAGGCCGGCCTCAGGAGCTCCAAGTCCCCTAACAAGGTGGCTAATCTTCTGTGATGTTACAAACAGCTCAGTCCATTCCTGGGACCGGAAAATGGTCAGCGTTCCCGAGAAAAACTCCCAGAGCGGGTTAGGGTCTGGACACAGCAATCAGATCAGTCCTTGGTCTGTTCTCAAAATGTAATAAACTCAGAGAAACAGAAGATGGCTGCACAGGTAAACACCTAACCGCAGCCGCACACAACAGTTTCAATAAAATACAACTAAAATATAAAATGGACATTACCCAGAACTACAGGAAAGTCGACTGACTGGAAGTTCTACAACGAGAAGCATGGAGAAAAACAGAAGGAAGAGCGGAGGAGCTGTAAAAGCCTGAGGTACAGAGACACACGGCGCGCGTGGAGAGAACAGAGCCGGAGAGGAGGCAGCGGCTGAGTGCCTGGCTGGCGTTCACTAGCGGGAAGGAGATAAAAGCTCCAGACTGTGCTGAACCCCTAACCCGACAGCGCTGAATCCCAGTTCTAGGCCAGACCCTGGGGACCCAGGCTCAAACAGAGGGAGCCTGGGCTGTGAGGTGGAACCCCAGGGGAGCGCAAAAGGCAGAGCCCTGGAGGCACGCACATTGCACACAGAGAACAGAGGACGGACTGTTGACTCTGCTGCCAGATTGCCCTGGCGGGAAGGAGACAAAAGCTCCGGACTGTGATGAGCCCCAGTTCCGACTGCTCTGACCCCCAGTTCTAGGCCAGACCCCGGGGACCCAGGCTCAAACAGAGGGAGCCTGGGCTGTAAGGCGGAACCCCAGGGGAGCGCAAAAGGCAGAGCCCCCGGAGGTGCGCACATTGCGCGCAGAGAAGGGATGGTTTGGCTGTGCCACAGGATTGTCCTGGTGGGAAGGAGACAGAGGCTCCAAACTGCTCTGAATGCCACCTCCAATCCCACTTCCAACTGAACTGAATCCCAGTTCCAGGCCCATTGGGGGAGAGACTAGACTGTTTGGTAGCCCAGTTCCAGGCAAAACTCAAGGGCACCTCACTCTCAGAGGTGCTTGCAGTGAGTACTGAAGGACCCTGAGGAATACTGAGACTCAGGAACCACATAGGGCGGGAAGGATGGAAGCCAAAGCTATAGGCTCCACTCTGAAACTCAGCCCCATCAGGGAAGCTGCAAAAATGCCGAGACAAGGAAATAGATCACAAAGAAATGGAGGACAAAAAGCGACTGGATATAGAGTTCAAAACCACACTTATAAGCTTGTTCAAGAATCTCCTAGAAAAGGCCGATAAAATAAATGAGACCTATGAGGATATGAAAAGGGATCAACTAGAAATAATAAGGGATCAACAAGAAATAAAGAATACATTGTCTGAAATAAAAAATATTATACAGAGTGCTAAAAACAGAATGGAAGATCACAAGAATCAAGTCAAAGATTTGGAACATAAAGAGCCAGAAGACACTCCTCCACAGAAGCAAGAAGGCAAGAGAATCCAGAAAGTTGAAGATATTGTAAGAAAACTCTGGGACAACTTCAAGCGAACGAACATCAGAATTATGGGGGTCCCAGAAGATGAGAGAGAGCAAGATATCGAAAACATATTGAAAGAAATAGTGACAGAAAACTTCCCCCACCTGCTGAAAGAATTAGACTTACAAATCCAGAAAGCGCACAGAACTCCAAACAAAAGGAATCCAAAGAAGAAAACAAGACAAATCATAATTAAAATTCCAAGAGCAAAAGACAAAGAGAGAATATTAAAAGCAGCAAGAGTTAAGCAGGTAGTTACCTATAAAGGAGCATCCATATGATTGTCAGCTGATTTCTCAACAGAAACCATGCAGGCCAGAGGGAATGGCAAGAAATATTCAAGGTGATGAATAGCAAGAACCTACAGCCAAAGATAATCTACCCAGCAAAGCTATCACTCAGAATCCAAGGCCAGATAAAGAGCTTCACCAATAAAAATAAAAAAAAGCTAAAGGAGTTCATCATCACCAAACCAGAATTATATGAATTGCTGAAGGGGGTTCTTTCGGAAGAGAGAGTAAATAAAGATAAAAACTATGAACATAAGAAATATGTAACTATCAACAAGTGAATCTAAAAACCAAAAAATTTTTTTTTAAATCTGATGAACAATATTAGCTAGGGAATATAATAGAATCAGAGGTATGGAAGGGGAGTGAACTGATGATTCTCGGGGAAAGGGGGAGATGGGAATGTGGGAAGAGACTGAACTTAAACTGTGCACCTATGGATGAGGACAATGATGGATGGGGAAAGGGCAGAGGGTGGGGTGGGAACCTGGTGGAGGGGAGCAACTGGGGGGGGGGGAGAGGAACATCTGTAATAATATGAACAATAAAGATTTTTTTAAAAAATAATTTAAATAAATAAATAATAAACTCAGAGAAACATTTACTTACTTTTACCAGTTTATTCTAAAGGCTATGATAAATAATGCAGATGAAGAGCCAGATGAAGAGGTAGCGGGTGAAGTATGTGGAATGGGGCACAGCTCCTCGGGTGTCTCTGGGAGTGCCAGTCTCCCCACATCTCCACGTGTTCACCAACCCATGAGTTCTCCAAACCCAGGTCCTTTGGCTTTCATGACACAGGCATGATTGATTGAATCATTGCCTATAGGTGATTTTTAAATTTTTTTCTTTATTGATTATGGTATCACATAATTGTCCTCATCCCCCCATTCCCATCCCAAACCCCTCCCCACATATGCCCACCCCCTGTTGCCAATGACCATTGGTTAGGCTTATATGCATGCACGCACGTGCTTTGGTTGATCTCTCCTTTTGCCCCCACCCTCCCCTACCTTCCCTCTGAGGTCTGACAGTCTGATCGCTGCTTCTCTGCCTCCAGGTCTGTTTCTGTTCATCAATTTATGTTGTTCACTATTTCCCCTAGATGCATTAGATCATGTGATACAAGGAATTCCCTTATAAGGACCGAAACTGAGACAAGCCATAATGGTTATGCTGCGAGGCAAATGAATCAGTCTGTAGTGAGTTCCTTTCTGGGCCAACCGTTCTTTTGAGTCCCCATTTCAATGTCAAACAGTTCCTTATGTATACATGTCAGCCATGGTATTTCACATCTGGTTGGTGGACAAATGGTGTTGATGCAGGTCCGACCCTCTCTAGGTAACTGATCCAGCCCCTCTTTCCCACTCTCCAGAGGTCAGGAGGTGGGACTGAAAGTTTCAACCCTGTAATCACATGGTTGGTTCTGCCATCCTTATATTGCCTAGGGGCTTTTCAAAAGTCACCTCATTAATATACCAAAAAGTGCCTTTATCAACCTCCTCCCTTAGGAAATTCCAAAGTTTTAAGGGTTCTGTGCCAGAAATGGGGATGAAGAACAAATATATACTTATTATAAGTCACAATGTCACAGGTAATAAGGAAAAGGAATTGAAAATTGGTTGGGTCCCCTTACCATCCACTGAGCGATACATAGTCTTACCCTTTTATAAAAGTACACACAAAGGCCGAAACCGGTTTGGCTCAGTGGATAAAGTGTCGGCCTCGGACTGAAAGGTTCAAGGTTCGATTCCTGTCAGGGCCATATCCCCAGTAGGAGGTGTGGAGGAGGCAGATGTTTCTCTCTGATCAATGTTTCTGGTTTTCTATCCCTCTCCCTTCCTCTCTGTAGGAAATCAATAAAATATATATTTTTAAAAATACACACAAAGGCAGACAGCTACCCCACGAAATGCTCCCAAGGCTCCAACAACCAGCAAACACCAGGGAAGCACTCAAAAGAGAAACAAAAAGATGCGGAGAGGAGAAAAGGGAATCAAACAGGGAGAAGTATCACTTGGAAAGGATGGACAGCTACTCCGCCTGGCAGCCAGCAGCACAGCCCCCTCTAGGACCCCCCACCCCCAATCCTGGAGTCAGGCAACAACAGGGGACCCCACCGGATTGTAACTGTGTTTCTCTCTCTCTCTCTCTCTCTCTCTCTCTCTCTCACAAACACACACACACACACACGATCTCAGTCTCTTACACACACTCTCACACACAGTCTTCTAACGTAGACAGCCGCTCTCCTGCCAAAACGTGCACCCTCGCTCTGCTGTCCCACTCGCCCCGTGGACCCCGCCCCGTGTGGCCACGCCCCCGGAGCTCCGCCTGGCGGCCGGGGCGGGGCGGGCGGTGAAGCAGGGGCGTGGCGTGGGGAGGAGGGAGGGGCGGGCCGAGAGGGGCGGGGCGCGGGCCGGGAGGGCGGGGCGCGGCGGGCCGGGAGGGGCGGGGCGGGCCGGGAGGGGCGGGGAAAGCAGGGCCGGGCCGGGAAGGGCGGGGAGGGGCGGGGACAGAGCTGCTGCTCCCCGCTCGGCCGGCGGCGCGGGGGGGACACGGCTGTCAGCGGCTTGCGCTCCGGGTGCCGGCGGGTCCCCTCCGGTGGTGGCGCTGCCTCGCGCTTGGCCGCCTGGCCCCTCGGGCGGCCGCCCCGGCGGCGGGATGCGCTCGGCCCGGCAGCTCCTCGGAGGCGGGGGCGGCAGCGACTGCGGCGGCGGCGGCGGCGGCGGCGGGGCGCGCGGCGAGGACGGAGACGCGCTGGCGGGGCCGGCGGCGGCGGCGGCGGGGACCAAGGCGGAGCCCGGGGCGAGCCCGCGGCGGGGCGGGCGGCGGCCGCAGGAGGAGCAGGTGAGCGGGCGGGCCGGTTCCGAGCGCCCCCCCCGAGGGCGTGGCCCGGAAGGGCGGTTGGACGGACCGGCGCGGGGGCCAGGCCTGGTGGGGCAGGTCCGCAGGGCCCTGGGCTACGGGCTCCGTGGGGGTGTCCTCAGCGCTCATTGCCCGAAGCCGCCTCGGAAACCCTGCTTTTCCGACCTGGTGCGGGCTCCCCTGCTTTTCCGACCTGGTGCGGGTTCAAGGGCCGCACCCCCCCCCCCCCCCCCCGCCCCAATCCGGCGCGGGGCGCACACCTGGCCCGGGAGCTGTGGGCGGGCTCCCTCCGCCGCTGTCAGAGGCCGCACGAGCGATATCACTCACGTTCTTGGCGGGGACTTTCCCAGAGCAAGACCTTCACATGAACACAAGACCTAAACTTCGCCTTAAAAGTAAAAGAATTGGGAAATTTGCTTCCCATGGGGGTACCAAAGGCATTATATAGCTAGCACATGGGATATGTTCAACATTAGGCCAGGAACTTAATCAAAGAAATTGAATTACATATGCGGGGTGAATTGTCACCAACAAATACAATTAGACGTTCAAAAACATGAGAAATAAGCCAGCCTTCAGAATCGCATTAAGGAACAGGAATCCAAATCATCATTTGCCTTTCCTGCAGCCTGCACTGCTGGGAGAATCCACACCTGTCTCCCCTCATTTTCCTTCTCCACCTGCGCTTTTCCTAACGTTTCGCAAACTCCAGTATCATTCAGTACACTTAAGAGATTACGTATAACTTCTAGTGCGTCGATATTTTACTTAGTTATACAGACATAACAGTGCGTGGCACACACAGAATATGTCTTAGCTTTTAGGCTTGCTCGCCATGTGGAAGGGTAAGTTTTCATCTTTAGGACAATACTAGAGGCCCGGTGCATGAATTCGTGCACGGGTGGGGTCCCTCGGCCTGGTCAGTCAGCTTGCTGCCCTGATTGGGAAGTTGGCCAGCCCCAGGAGGCTGGCTGTGGGAGCAGCTTGTGCATTGTCTTCCCCCTGATGGTTAGTGTGCGTCATAGCTACTGGCCAGTCGTTCGGTTGTCTGGTCCTAACGGTCACTTAACCATAGGCTTTTATTTATAGAGATAAGAGATGGTGACTAAAGCAAAACATTGGTAGCCAGATCGTCCTGAGTCTCTCCCTGATAGTTTTCCCCATTACTTGCACCGTAACTCAGTAGCTAAAGGGCTTAGTTTCCCCTTACCTTAGTTGTTGAACTGGAGAAGTGAAGAAAAGGGCCACAGGAAGGCAGAGGAGGGGGAGTGGGGGAAGTAGGGGTTTGTGGTGCATTTGAGCCGAGGTCCCCAAAGTAAATTTTCAAATGGTTGTAAGAGAGCATGTAACATACTTCATGTAGGCCAGCCGGTGTGGCTCGGTGATTGAGCGTGAACCAGGAGGTCATGGTTTGATCCTGGGTCAGGCCCATGCCTGGGTTGCTGGCTTGATCCCCAGTGGGGGGTAGCCGATCAGTGATTATCTCTCATCATTGATGTTTCTATCTTTCTCCCCCTCTCCCTTCCTCTCTCTGAAATCAATAAAAAATAAAATACTTGATGTAAGCTTTTGTGGATATCACATTATCAGTTGCTCTGGTCTTGCCAGAGCTGCTTATGGTACAAAGAAAAAGAATGAAACAAAAGAAAGAATGAAACATTTTCTAGAAAACATATGTCACTTTGCATACCTGCTTCTTTTGTTGCATGTCATGGAAATTCATTTTCCTGCACTCCTTTGAAAATGTTATTTTTATTTTTATCACAGGATTGATTTATGTACTCTAAGCCTACATACATAGTAATTGAAAATAATGCCTGAGATATGCATTTCCTCCTCTATCAGCACCAAAGAAGAATTTCTTACCAAGAAGTCAAAAATAAACAACAAACTTGGTTTAACCCAACCCACTGGTGCAAGGAGCAAGCTTTTGTGATAAATCATTTTTTGGTAATATTATTACAAAGGCTTATTTTTTAGCTTTATGTTAGCTCCTGTAAATGAAATTTAAAATTTTGTATGCACTGCCTTAATGATAGACGTAGCTACAGATATGAAGATATTTGAGGGAAAGAGAAATGAAATTAACAGCTATAAAACATACTCTAGGGAGTTGTTTTATTTAGCTTCTCCTTAGGGAGATGATATGTGTGTGCGTGTGTTTTAAGGACGCACTGACTTTACATTACAAATGGAATATCTTTGAAAACTTGGTTTGAAAACTAGTTCTTTCGAACTTAAGTGAACTTTTCCATAGCAACAATGATAGAAACAGAAACAGAACTAATTAGCTGGAAATGAGGCAGAGACTGTTTTCTCCCTGTCCTTTCTGCTTAACTCAATCACCTGGCATCCCAGAGGCTTTGTGGCCCCGGGGACGTTGGGAGAGAACTGACTGCAGTGGTGGCAGAAGCAGGAACAGCAGCGGTGGCAGTTCTTTCTATCTGGGTCAGGGTTGTGCTAGGGCGCGCTGTACCACAAAGGCTCCGGAAGGCACCTGCCTTTTGCTCCGCCAGCTCTTCAGTGGTTTTTGTCAGCCCCTTCACAGAATTTTGCTCTTATCTGATAAGTTGATGAAGTGGACTTCTTCCCCAGGCTGAAGGCTCCTCTACATGCATCCTTTCCCTCGCTGATTTTTCTTTCCTCTTTTTTCTGAAAGGCTCATACCCTTCCCTCAACCTGGAAGGCTGTTGCATCAGGTTTGATTACGCAGTCCATCTTCCTTTCCCTCACTGATTTTTCTTTCCTCTTTTTTTCTGAAAGCCTCATACCCTTCCCTCAACCTGGAAGGCTCTTGCATCAGGTTTGATTACACAGCCCATCTTCCGCTCATTGTTATTATGACACCAGATCAAAGTGCCTATGTATTTTGGTGTTTACTTCATGTAATACTGAAATGTTGGAATTAATATAGGTGCTTTGATAACTGAGATATTGTCAGCCTTGTGTTTTTTTTTACATGTTGTCATTAGATGCCACTCCATCTGAGAGAAAACTAAGGTTCTTCTGCCCTTTTGGCCTAGGTTTTTCCAGGTAAGATGATTGACAAAAGAAGCCTGATTAAAATCAAGTATCCTAGGAAAGAAGGACTTCAAAGAATGGACCAAGTCTCTAGAGGAAGTAGGAGTCAGGTCTCTCAGAGAAGTAAGCTACGGAGATAGGCAAATACCCAAGGAACTGAAGGGACAGGGCACAGTTATCCGACATGTGTGTTGGTAATTGTGTGCATGAGAGAGTATGTTTATAACCGTGAGGGCTGTGTTGTACAAGAGTCTCTGCCCTGTTGCACAGCTGGAAGGCTAACCTTCTCTGGTCCATTTCTTATATGTCTGTGATGTGAATGGCATCCACTTAGCTGCAGCAGTTCACAGCCTGAAAACCCAAAACAGCCTTGCTTACCTAGAGCATAGAGAGGTCCCGTTATCCTTAGATTGATCTTCAGCTTTAAGGTCTTTATGATTCGAAAAGTAATGTGTACTTCAGAAAATGTAGAAATATAGAAAGACCTAAAGAAGGAAAAAGCATTTGAAATCCCACACACTAAGGGATATTTTGTTGTAAGATATCAAAGTTTGGTACTACTACATTAATATATCTTTATTATGTGCACATGTGTATATATACACAGAGATATATTTTTTAACATTTTTAATGTAGCGTTGGAATTTGGTATTTTGTTTTATCTACTTACATATTTTGTCATTTTTTCCATGTTATCAAAAATTCTTTTTAAAAATTATATCCAGGGTGGCCTAATAGTTTATTCCTCCAATACTGCACACTGAAGTTGCTTTAAATTTTTTTTTATAAATAACTAGTAACCAATGCACGAAATTTGTGCACATTAAAAGAGGATTAATTAGAGAAAATAATTTTATATTGCTATTTGCTCTTTCTCTATAATAGAAGTGTTAGAGATGAAATAAAATTAGTAAAATGTATATGAAAATCTTTCTTCTGTCAGAGTCTGGGATGCACCACGGGACTCAGAGTCAAGTCCCTGCCCACCCACATGCACCTCAAAATCATGTGAGACCCAAACCCAGCCACCACCCCCCCAATTGGGCTAGAACCAGACCCCGTCAGTCCCACCCTGGTTAAGCCCTGCTGGGTGGGGGGGGGATAGCCTCAGGTCCCCTAGCCCAGTGCCAGGATGGGGGGGCGTGGCCTGAGGTCCCCCAGCCCAGACAGGGGTGAGGGGCGAGCCTTGAGTCCTTCATCAAACCTCGCCAGGTGGGGGGCATGGCCTGAAGTTCCCCAGCAAGCCCCGCCAGGCAGGGGGGCGCAGCCTCAGGTCCCCTCGCCCAGCACTGGGATGGTGGGCACAGCCTCAGATACCCCGTCAAGCCCCACTGGGTAGAGGCATGGCCTGAGTTATCCCAACCCAGCATTGAGGGTGCACCTTGAGGTCCCCCTTCAAGCCCAGCTGGGTGGGGGGACACAATCTGAGGTCTTTCTCTATAATAGAAGTGTTAGAGATGAAATAAAATTGTCAAGCCCAGCTGGGATGGGGGTGCACCCTGAGGTTCCATGTCAGCAAAGGAAGGTGTAGCTCAGGTCCCTGCTGATTGTTTTTTAAGGCTCTTTATGGGAACTTGGCCTCACCTGTGGGTGTAGCCATCTATGTGACAGAGTGATGATCAATTAGCATATTCCCTCTTTATTAGATAGATTGCTTTCATGAAAGTCTGTGTGTAAATCTTCACAGTTATACTTCAGAATAGATTCCTAGAAATGGAAGGACTGGGTCAATGAATCAAACTCCAAAGCCACTCAGAACATCCTAAAACACTGCATTCTAGAAAGGTTACAGCAATGTATACTTCTATCATTGCCATATTTGAGTGCTGATTGAAAGCCATGCATGCCAGCAAAGAACAGGATAATTTATAAATTAATCTTTGCCAATTTACTAAAATTATTTTACTGTTGTAAGACATTGCTGAGAGATTTTCTAAACCATGTACAGGGATGGGCATAAG